GCACACAGAATAAAGGGTAGATAAGGGGGGCATACAGGGGAGGGCACACAGGGTTGGAAGGGACTCACACAGTACAGCAGCCACCGCGAGCCTTAATATAGGGGGACCACAGGGGAGGGTACACGAGGTAGGAAGGGACTGCACACATCACAGCAGCCACCGCGAGCCTTAATATAGGGGGACTGCCGTGACAGGGCTGGGCAAAGGGATAAGGGGGACCCCGACAAGGGAATGGGTGGTAGGGGCAGTTCCATGGGATAGGGAGCCCCCGGAGGATTATGGAACTCAGCCCCAGGAAACCTTTTTCAGAACTGGAGGTGGGGGGGGGGGCAGGAGGAAAGTGCAGATATCTGGCGCCAAATGTAGGGTGAAGAGGCCCCTGCCCGACCTCCTGCTCAGTCAATCCCCTGAACTCTCAGGGTAATCAATGCTGGCAGGAGCACACTGTCAAATATGTGAGCTGATCCTGGTATATGTAAGGGACGCTGGACCCGGTTTCCAGCAGGTGCTGCTCCCCACCAATAGATGGAGGCCCCCCAGGTGCTACCGGTGTCTGCTCTTACCAGCACCGCTAGCACCGACGGGCTGTTTCAAAAAAAAAAAAAAAAAAAAAAAAAAAAAGACACTTTCGAAAGGCCTCTTCCGGACCTTCCGGAAGTCTGTGGACTTGGCCTTTCGATTACTGTAGCAGCTACGACCTTGACTTCTCAGGACACCTACAGCTACGACCTCTACAGAGCTGTGACCGCTACTCGACAGACCTACATATCGAACCCCTACAACTACACAGACCTACGAAACTACCAGAACACCTCCGGTAACTTCTACATTATGCAAAGTCTCATGTTAACTGGAAGAAAAAAGGAAAATTGGAGATGAATTCAATTTTGGAGTAGAAAATGTAGAAGTGTTTGGTGAACCAAAAATGATTTTGCCTAAACAAATAAAAAGGATATGCAAAAATAAACTAGTTTGGACTGAATTAACACAAATATGGCGAAGTGACAATAATCACGTAAAAGTTTTTTTTTTTGAATTCAATAAATGGAGGCTACGCTGTAGCAATTGCAGGTCATATAGCTTTTCTTCCTAAGAGTCTTCGAAAAAGCCAAAAAGTTTTTCATAGTCAATTGAGAATGTTCTCAATCTTAAAAATGAATCCAAAAATTTTGAATATCGTAGTCAAAGAAATTGGCGAACAATCACGAAAAAAAACAACAAAAAAGTACAAAAACAAATGCCTCAATTAGATCAATTTAGTAATTTACATATTTCACGCAATTCCTTTGGTTATGTGTATTTTATTTGAGTTTTTATGAGTCGTTCTACAAGCTCCTTGATAGGGGCTAGGCGGAGAATGAGTCTCAGGTATATCCTTCTTCGGTATACTTTTCCGTGCGCTTCGCGCCTAACCCAAGAGACTTGATTTTGTGCCTTCTATCCCAGCATTGGCACATTACAACGGCATCAAATGCATCACCCGTTTGATACAACAGCTGGGTAGGCCTCTGGCCCTGTTTTCTCCTCTGGAGCACGATCTGACCATTGGGACTGCTCAATACGTCTGTTCTTAGATCTTATGGGCCCAGATTTCACTGCAGGACCTGATCCCGCAATCACCCCTCCTCGACATCTCTCTCTTTCTCCTTTCCTGTTCCACAGAGGCAGATCTCTGCATTATGATTTTCATTTTGTGCGGTGCTTT